CACACACACACACACACACACACACACACACACACACAGCGGTTACAATAAGATATCTTAATGCAATTGTATTAGCTAATGAAATAGCAAATTATTTTTCTTCTGTCTCAGGACTAACGTTTAAGACAGTTTCCTTCAAGTTCAGACAGGTTTGCTAATACAGTGCTTTGGCAAATACAATTAGCTAATGAAATAGCAAATTATTTTTCTTCTGTGTCTCAGGACTAACGTTTAAGACAGTTTCCTTCAAGTTCAGACAGGTTTGCTAATACAGTGGTTTGGCAAATACAGTAAAAACTTTATAATGCAGCATTTAGCTTTATATGATATATCTATCACAGGGTGCATAAACAAGGGTATAAGTGTAGGGTATAAACAATATGATTGTTTTTTTTTTTTTTACTGATGACTGATGGTTTGATGTGGTCCACAGTTTTTGTTTAACTATTGAAGTGGTCTACAACAACCTGACAAAGTCTGAGAACCACTGTCCTTGAAGAGTAACCACAGACAACCACAACGCCTCACAATATTTTTGACTGTACCTGGTTAAGTATATTTTTTTGTCATTTCAAAATTAAACATCTTTGTCATGTTTTGCTTGAAAAGTATACTTGTGCTATATTCCCTGTAAAATAAATGTTTGAAATTTTGTGTAATAAATTGACATTCATATTTTTAAGTGTGGCTAAAGTGTCCAAATATATTGAAGAATGTACACTACTGATCACATTTTTTGGGAATAATTACAATAAAAAAAAAAGCCCAAAAAAAAGGTCTCTTATGCTCAGCAAGGCTGCATTTACTTGATGAAAAACAGTAATTATTACAATTTAAAATAACTATTTTATATTTGAATATATTGTAAAATGTAATTTCTTTCTGTGATGGCAGAGCTGTATTTTTAGCATAATTACTCCAGTCTTCAGTGTCACATGATCTTTCAGAAATCATTCTAATATACTGATTTGCTGCTCAAGAAACATTTATGATTATTATCAATGTCAAATTTGTTGCTGCTTAATATGTTTGTGAAAACTGTGATACTCTACCATTCAAAAGTTTGGGGTAAGATTGATAAAAAAAAAAAGAAAGAAAATAGCACTTATATCCAGTAAGCACGCTTGCTTGATCAAAAGTGACAGTGAAGACTGTTATAATATTTCAAAACATTTATATTTTAAATAAATGCATTAAAGAATCTTGAAACATATCACAGCTTGCACAAAAATATGTTTGAAAAATTTTTCATAATCTTATTACAAACCTTTCACCAGTAGTAATTAAGCACATATTAATGCCTTATTCTACATGACCTTATTCTACATCCCTAGTCCTACCCATTACCTAAACTTAACAACTACCTTACTAACTATTAATAAGCAGCAAATTAGGAATTTATTTAGGGAAAAGTCATAGTTAATAGTAAATAAGTGTTCTCTATTCTAAAATGTTACCAATGTAAATTACCCAACACTTTCATAACACACATTAACCTGCCTAACATTTGCAAACAATATCTGACTCTCCATAGAACTTGAAATTGTATTATCATTGTACCTAAAAGTTATTTTGGTGTAATAGCTTTAGTGATTACTATGCCAAGCATTTTCATCATCCACCAAAATGTGACAAGACAACACTAATATACAAAAATATTCAAACAAAGAAAGTTTATTATAAAGTCTATTAATATCCTTATGATGATAACACTAGAGCCCAGCCATTATCATTTAAAAGGCATCAAAGGGATGCTTCAGCCTCCAGAAACCTGTACAGTATCAACCGCTTGGCAAAATGCCCTTTAAAGCTGGGTGTTCATGCCAGTAGAATGAAATGAAATCCCTAAATAAGATGAAAGCAACAGAATTAGTTTATCTATATGCACAAGGTTTAGTGCAAACAACACAGCCTGACAGAAGTGCCATGACGTTAGAGGAGGTCATCTTGTTTTTGGTGTGCTGATCACAGAATTTGTTCTCACAAATGTACACCAAATACTGATCCAGTATATACACAAATTCTAAATCACACTCTACTAGATCGTTAAAATGGACTATAGCGTACTGAAAAAGGATAAAATGATTTGTCCTTCATAAAAGGCCACCATATGAAATAAAACTTTATGATCTGTCTTTTATTGTAACAATTATTAATATAAAACTAGTTTTCAATGGTTATAGTTTTAAATAAACACTATTACAAAGAATTTGATGGTGATTAGGTTTAAAGGTTATCTTTCTAGGTAGCTCGAACGATCTACACTATCCAGAAATGTTCAGTGATTTTTAATTCATTGCCTAAGATGACTAAAAGCTGCAATGCAGCTTTATATTAGTGGTTTATTCCAGGGTATTAAATCCAAATGCCTTTGGTTTAACACATTTTCAGTTCATAGTCAAGAAAAAGTGGTTTAGTCCATCCTGATTCAGTTTGGAAAATGATGATATGGTTATCGTCGGATGCTGCCTGGCCTGGAACTGTGGACAGATATTAGATGTGTGGAATTAGATATGTAACCATTTTAACAAGAATTACACTATAAAAAGTAAAATGAAAAAAATATACATATATTTTAAAACAGGCAGCAACATTCATCAATTTTCAGGACATCCAAGATGCAGATGAGTTGGTTTCTTCATCAGATTTGGAGAAGTGTAGCTTTACATCACTTGCTCACCAATGGATGCTCTGCGGTGAATGGGTGCCGTCAGAATGAGAGTCCAAACAGCTGATAAAAACATCACAATAATCCACACCACTCCAGTCCATCAGTTACCATCTTAAGATGTTTTAAACTTCAAACCGTTGCTAAAATACAAATCCTCTATCCATAATATTGCTTTCTCCAGTCAAAAAGTGTGTCTTCTGAATCAAGAGAGAAATATGCACAGATCAAGCACTGTTTACAGGCAAAACCAGTCCAAAATAGTTCTAAACAAATATGTTGGTGGATTTTGATGTGAAAGAACAACAATGGATGGACTTTCTCCACTAGAGGAAACATTATTATAGATTACGGCCAGAAGTGAAAGTTTGAAATTAAAATGCTTTAATGATGGATTTGTTTCTTACAGCCACACAGCTTTCAACTTCACAAGATGTTAATTGATGGACTGGAGTGGTGTGGATTACTTGTGGATTATTGTGATGTTTTTATCAGACTCTCATTCTGACGGCACCCATTCACTGCAGAGCATCCATTGGTGAGCAAGTGATGTAATGCTACACTTCTCCAAATCTGTTCTGATTAGGGATGTTAATTTTAACCGGTTAACCATTAACCGACCGTAAGAATTTTTGACCGATTAATACAATCAGTTAAATGGTTTAAAAAGTCATTTATAAATTTTTTTTCAGTAATTTATCAAAATATTTAAAAAGGTTTGCTGCATGGTTAAAATACGCTACGCATATATAAAAAAATGTGTAAAAAAACAAACAAAAAAAAAACCGCGTTTTCGAGTATGTCGAGTATTTTCGAAAAGTCGATTAACAGTATTTAGAAAAGAACAATAATTAAAAATATAAGAAGCTATAGCAATATAAACGACAAGCCAAAACGAATTGATTTACGCTAAAACGAAACTGAAACCAACGTTGGGTCTCTCATTCCACACAAAATCAAATGTTTCCGTATTCGCGATATATTTGAATGCCAAAATGTTATTTATTATGTAGCCTACTTCACTGGCGTTCCAATATCCACGTAAAACAAAATGTTTTGCATAACATCACGGTGGTATGGTGATAACGCTTAATGGCAGACTTTACTACATATTTGAACTGAGCAGTGTGTTTTTTTCCATATGTTTGACTGACTGTATTTTATTATGATAATGAACAGTCTGCACTCTCAAGGTAGCAAAGCTTAACTGTGTGCGCGCATGCGGCACCGACACAATCACTTGAATTTTTTCCTTCTAACAGTGGAAGAAACTACTCCTTTTAGTC